TAATTGTATTTTTCTAGCCGGCTGGCTATTATAGACATTACGGGCGTGTTGACATTTTTGGATGTAGAGACACGCGCTTCGTCAGGGGATGCAGAGGGCGGGTCGACAGCTGGAGCACCATCTAAATTTGAGCGCAAGGATGTCTGGGATATGAAGTGGGCTAATGACAACCCAGATCTGTTCTCTATGATGGAGAAAACCAGAATGTATGTCTTCAGAAACCTGGACCCTGAGATGAAACGTAGAGAAAGATTTACATATTCATATCCGCATATATGTTAAGTGTTGTTGTGGCATGAGAAAACGGGATGACTGAAAAAACACATAAATGGAAAGAAAGAAAGAAAGTGACAGTTTTGGCAGAGCTACTGCACTCTTAAGTATACAGGGTTCAGGAAGTGCTGCCGTTTTCAAATAAACACACACACACCAGCCTCAGTAAATCACAGTGCACATGGCCTGAAGATCAGACCACACACTGCACAGAAAGATAGCAAGAAGTGTAGTTTACACGTCCATTTCACACATTATAAGCAATATTCACACAAATATTAAATATGTATATTACATTTAATAAATAATCAGTTTGAACTTTGAATTTCTTGAGTTGTTTTAATTTGCAGCAGTATTAGTTTGAGTATCCTCTCCTGACAAGCTCTTATTTGTGTTGTGTTTTTAACACAGGAACCAATTCAAACGTCTGGCTTCATCTGCCACTTTGAGGATCTGGAGTTCAAATCTGTTCTTTTGGATGAGATTATGAGGGTTGGTTGGAATATATTGGATTGAATGAATTCAGAGTTGATTTTGAATATGCATTTTTTAATGTCGATAAAGTTTTTTTTTTTTTTTTATTGTTATCTTAGTTTGAACCCTGAATATAATTTCATATTTTATTTTTCAGGATCCAGAGGTTCCGAATAAAGATTATTTAATAAACTTCGAGATCCGCTCACTGAGGGACAGCAGGGCACTTATTGAGAAGGTTGGAATTGAGGATGCTTCTCAGTTTATTGAGGATAATCCCCATCCGCGTCTCTGGTGAGACACACACTCATTCCACACAATAAATGGGGCGGTTTGGTTATTTATTCAAGCATACCTGCACACGGAAAGAGGAATACATGAATGAAAGCATAGTATCGTAAATAGAATCGAGATTTGAAAAGGGTGGAAAAAAAAGTTCGGCAAAAGATGGGATCGAACCCGGGTTGATCGTGTCAAAAAGCCAATGACACACGCTTATCCATCTGCGCCACTGGAGCTAATGTTTTACAACCACTTTTAACTAAATGTAGTGATTTGTTTTGCACTTCTCGGCCACCATATGAAACCAATAAGACCGCACGCAAAGAGCTTTGTCCTTCAGTACCTCTCTGACCATTAAGAAAGGGAAACCTGGATAAACCAGAATAAAATAAACTGTAATTTAAGCAGGCACTTTACTGTGCAGTTATTTATGGTTGAGTTGATTTTTTACAAATAAATATTCATCTAAGACAGAGCTGAAAGAGAGAAAGATGTTACCTGTAGTTATAAAGCATGGCAGTCTTGAAGTGGCTTATTGATTTATTGGCCTATTGGAGTTTTAGTGGCTCTGTCAGTTCTCACAGCACAAGGAGGAATTTCAGATTGGACTCTTGCCACAGAAGCAGGGAGGTAAACCCAGCGATCTAACATACATTGACAGGACTCTTTACAATTTCACCATTTGTTGAATAATTCTCTCCCAAAACTAGTTAAAACTATATCCAGGTCACATTTGCCCCCATAATCTAGAAAAAATATATATTTAGCATATTTTACTATATCTTGCTAAATCGTATTAATTAAATTAGTTTTTGCTGTACTGTCTTTAATCTACATTTTTAAATGGCAAACACCATTTGAGATTTCTTTTTTTCTTTCTTTGATTTTGGGGTGAAATGTGAACAGGAAATGTTTTTGTATGATTCAACTTTTAGTACATTATCAAGTGAGTTGCTGTTAATACTGTCAGACGGGAACTGGAGAAGGAATCCTACAGGAATATGGTGTAAAGAAGACGAGCTGTGTCAGCACTCTCTTTCAGTCTGTGTGTGTTTGCTTTGATTCAAGTGTGAGAGCTCAAAGGCTCTGTTGTTTGATTGTGCTCATCCGTAACATGCCAACATGTCAGAGGTCAGAGGTTTTCTTAGCTTTCCATGAGCACTTAAAAAGATCCCGGACAGAGTCACTTCACCCTCCTTGGCCACTTTTTGTGACTTAGTTCTCCGAAACTGTCCAGGGTGTCATCAGTCAAACAGATTTAGCTACAGTATATGCAGCTGAAAGATTATCAGTGTCATTTTGTTTATGCCCAGATTTATGATGCTGTTTGCTCTTTGTTGAGATCAGATATGGTACAAATACAAATACTCCAAATTTCATCAGAACTAATGCATCATATACTATGTCATATAATCTCAAATATGGGATTTGAGGTCTTCAGTGTGAAGTTTTAGACCTTCCGTACTTGACAGTTGAAAATTCAGTCAGTTGTATCTATGCATGCACTTCCAGGCGTCTGTTGGCAGAAGCGGCGCTGCAGAAGCTGGATCTGAAGATGGCTGAACAGGCATTTGTGCGCTGTAGAGACTTCCAGGGCATTGAATTTGTGAAGAGAATGAGAAACCTACAGAGTGAAGCCATGAAACAAGCTGAGGTTGCTGCTTACTTCAGCAGGTTCGAGGAGGCAAAGAGGATGTACCTGGACATGGACCGCAGGTACACACAGACAAATGCATACTGTCATGAGATTCATAAGTGTCTTTATCCTGTGTGAAATCTCTGTGGATAAGCACACTTCACTTAAAAAAAAAATAAAAATGTTAAATGAATTTGACTAAATTGAGAAAAATTGTACACAATTTAATTTAAATCTTTTTTTAAAAATATTTTGAGCTGATTTGTTCTAATTTTGTTATACAAACCTAAATAATTCAGTTGAAATATACAGTGTTGTTATTGTCAACTGAAACGACTGTTTCAGGAATTTAAATAAAGCTAAAATAAAAATTAATGTATAAATATAAAATGAAAAACTTAAACTTAGAAGTTGAAGTACTAAAATTACTAAAGCTACAACTGAAATAAAAATGAATTGAAGATAAATAGAAATATAAAATGCTAAAAATAAAATTAAAATGAAAGGCAAATTTAAAATATTAAGAAATATAATAGTGTATAAATAATGCTAACTGAAAATATAGGACTGAGCAGGATTTAAACTCACATGCACCACCATGCAAAATATGTAATATTCACCGCACTACCACTACATGCTTTGCTGATGAAGTCTCTACTTTAACGCTGTATTACAAATATTACACATTTATATTTCTACATTTAAAATGTTTTTTTTTTTTTTTTTGGCTTTTTACCAAACAAAAGCTATTCATATTTCTTTTGGCATATGACAAGAAATTACCATATTTTAATTTAATGGAGTACTAAATTAAATAAACTACATGGATGGATGATTTTTAGATTGAAACAAACACTCAAATCAATTTCCAAATGTGTCTTCTGTTGATTTGGATCAGAATTTTTTTTTATGCGGTTATGGCCAACATTTTAATGAACTAAATTGAAAAAGCAACAGAACTCAATTTGTTTTCGAATGCTCATCTTTCATATTTCTCCCTCTGGTCTCTAGGGATTTGGCGATCGGTTTGCGTATAAAGCTCGGTGATTGGTTCAGGGTTCTGCAGTTGTTGAAGACAGGATCAGGTAACAGTGATGATGCTCTTCTGGAGCAGGCATACAACGCCATTGGAGACTACTTTGCAGACAGACAGAAATGGTAGGCTGTTTAAGTGTGGGTGTGCATATGTGTTTACAAATATATGTATATGATTTGTGTGTGTGTCTAGACGAAGCCACAATCGGTTTCAGTGTAATACACTCATTTAAGAATAATTTTAAGTAAAATAATTCAAGTGTATCCAAATATTTGACTGTTTTTTTTTTTTTACTTGATAAATTGTATTATTTTAGTGTTGACACAGAGACATGAAGTGTGTGTTAGAGCTGTGCAATTAATCAAAATACAGTTTCGATTTCGGCCTCCAACGATTATGAAAATACAAAAATTGAGAAAATATGATTATTCTGCCCCCTTTCTAGTGGTGCGTGCGCTTTCACGTGCAAATCAGTAAAATCATGTAACGTGACTTTTGCAAAATGGGACATACTTGATTTATTAAAGTTGATTAGATGTATTAATGTTTTTAAAAGCGCGAAAGAGAACTTGCGCTGTTCCTCTGGAGGATTTCTGTGCATGCGCTCAGAGACTGAACAGAACACGGACATGTAAATTCATCTTTTAGCTTAGGTGCATGCCTAAACGGTCAAATACACGCAAAAATGTGTCAAATTTTGGCGCTTGGCGATTATTCATGTAAACATTTGTCAGTTATGTCTTAAGTGAACGTAAACGGTTGAGAATGAAAATATATGTGTAATAGTAAATTGGATCCATGCGGCTCTTAAAGTGATGACAGGCTATTCCAGCTGTTGACTGTGTGCTTAATATTGATCAAACAACAAAAGACAGAGAAAAACACTCACTGCTCTTGACGGAAGGACTTTTGTTTTAGCTTTAATAAGAAAAAGAAAGTTTAATTCTTACAGTGAAGACTATGCTGTTTTATTCTGTAGTAGGCTGTTAGCTGAATACTTTAGACTTGCATAAAACTTAAAGCACTGTTTGTTTCATTTGTATCTTTTTTTATTGTATTTGTCCTTTGCTTCTTTGTTTTTATTGTACTACTGAGAGTTTAATTATTTTCATTAATTTTTTAGTTTTTTTTACTAATATGAGTTACCCTAGTATTCTGCTGTGGCAGGCCTATTGAGAATTGTGAAATCTCTAAAATGTAGATGTCATAGCAGCCTTATTTAAAGAAAATATAGATTTGATATATATATATATATACGTGTGTGTGTGTATATATATATATATATAGTATTACCTGCAGGGTCATAATCAGGAGCATCTGGCTGAATGTTATTATATGCCGGAGGACTATGATGGTCTGGAGAGACTTGCAAACTCCCTACCAGAAAATCATAAACTTCTAACAGTGGGTGCTTTCTCTTTTTTTTCTTCTCCCTCTCCCTCTCCCTCTTTCTAATTCTCTTAAAACAGACCAAGCAGTAAATTTTGGTTCAGGTTGTCTGAAGATGGACTGAACTGTGCTTTATTGTGTGTGTGTGTGTGTGTGTGTGTGTGTGTGTGTGTGTGTGTG